GGGGGGGAGAAGGGCGGGAGATGAAAAACTTGGTAGCAAGTCCCCGGCTGTGAGGTCGCGACCACAATCTATATAATGGACTCGCTAAAGTGTATCCAGAATCTAGGTTCCTGGCGAGACGAGAACAGAGAAAGGAGAGTGCAGACCCTTTGGTCCGCAGCTACACCCGCTGCATTATAATCGCACTAGCCGTCCCATTCCTGACTGCATTTTATTCACAATATGCCCACATACGTGCTGTCGCGAGTCACGCTACAACGTGCATGTACAGAGTGAACTGAATCTCACAGCGTCGCGCAATCGTCAACAGAGCTTATTCGAGAAGTGAAAACATTCGATACTGGATCGTCCAGGAAGTTTATTTCGTTTTATTAATGAATAATGTATGCACGATATTTTATGCTTTACGTCATGCTGTCGTCGAGGAACGACTTATTTTTTTTTTCTTTTTTAAAAATTATTACATTATAAATATAATCGATATTTAAAAAAAAATATATATATATATATATATTTGTAAGAGTAGATACATATAAATTTATAATGTTACAAGCAGAAAATTGAAACACAGTCATAGATCTACAAAACAAAAGAAATGACACATTCATGGCAAAATGCCATTTTATCCAGATTGTCCGGTTCAGGATCAGACGACACATTTTGAACACAATTTTTAGTTTATTATTTAGGTGTAGGAAATATTTTCTACAGAAAAAGACGAGATTCTACGCGAGATTTGCAATCCAATAACTATTCATCGCTCGTCTTCAAGATATGTACTTGCATTCTATTACGGGATTAAACGGAATGAACGAAAGAAAACGCGAAAGAGAGAAACGTCGTCGTTCACAATTGGCACTCAAAGATCCATATTTCAATACATTGACAACGACATTTTCACAGTTGTTTCGCAATGAGAGACAGATTGGATCGCGCGATATAAATGCGGCGCAGCGAGTCCTTTTAGTTTTGTCCTTCTGAAAGACGAGAAATATGGATGCTAAGTGATTGATAAGTGTACGGCCTGTCGCACCTGACCATACGTTATACTTTCACTGACGTTGCGTCCGTGTTTCGTGTTTCGTTGCCCCGTTGTTGTTACGCTTTCACGGTGGCATCTGGCATTTCTGTAGGAAGGATCTCTTCCGTCCGACACATATATACTGCGTAGAACTAAGGGTGAGTCAGACAAGGGTCTGCTGTTGCACAAACCAGCGGCTGTGCATGATGGATGTTAAGGGACCATTATTTCGCGTCGATATTTCGAATATCACGCCTGGTATTACATTGACATAAGACGCTTGTTACCGCGGTCTTTTTCGTAATCCTATGTTATTAAAATACGACAGGTTCGCTTGACGATACGAACGAAATTTATAATAAATATCAAACTTGAAATCTATGAAACAATTTACGTGGAGTACGTACGTACACGTACAAGTGTACAACTATGCGTATAAAGCGTAAAATTACGATTTCATCTTTGTAAAAGCAATCGAATCGTTGAATATCATTTGATCCCTGTTTACGAACGGAGCACCGACAGCAGAGCATAAATCAGTCGGAAAGTTTCAATTCACGGTGTTTTAAGGCGAACAATACCGTCTCTTTAATTTCCTTCATTGTGAAAAAAATTCGGCGAAGGCTTCCCGATCGCTGTCAATACGACAGAGCCGGTCTCTTTTTATTTAGCTCTAAAAGCAGAGCCCGTCGCGCCGGGACCATTCGGCTTCTCCATGCGAACAAGAGGACTATTCGTCACTGCAAACCTAAATTCCCCAAACTTTTTTCCCGCCGTACAATGAGCTCATCCGATCACCGGCTGACGTCTGGTAAAGTTTGAAATAAAGAAAACGAGTGACAGGGTGAAGGAACAAGAGAGAGAGAGAGAGAAACGACCGAAGAATAAGAAAGAAGGAAGGGCGGGACAAGGACGAAAAATCGAAAAAAAAGGGAAGGAGGAACGAAAGGCAAGAAGTAGATTGATTCCCAACTCTGTCCCCTCAAGACAATTTGTACCCAACCTCGTACTCTACGATCGTCTCTTCCGTTCGCTCGTGAGCGGGAACTAAAGCGTGGCTTCTTTTTTTTCTTTCTTTTTTTTTTTCATTCCTTCTTCTTCCACCCCTGACTGTCCCGCAGTTCCTGCTACCGTCAGCGTTGGACTTCTCTCGCTTCTCATCTCGTTCGAAAGTCACCCGTGGAAAAGAGTGGAAGCATGGAATCTACGTAGAAACGTCTTCCCATGAATTCCACGAGGCAGCATCGCGAGACTTCACCCTCACCGCCGCCGTGATCATTAATCACTCATCGTTCACCCGTGAACAACGTCACCGCTGAAACACTAGTTTTCTTCAGACCGTCGAATAATCAAAGTGGGTGGCAAGCTCGTCGTGCAAAACGGAAGCAAAATCATAATCCGATTGAGAGAACGATAACGAAGCAGTGATGAAGCGGTGTTTGAATGTTACTCTTAATTACAAGGAAAAATTCTGTTTAAAAGCTTTCGTTTGATTATTGCAACAAATCCGCTTCAACGTTGAACAAATCAGATTGCAAATCGGCTGCGTGTATGCTTTACGCGGGATGTTATATCTCATTTCAAGCCGAAATTCATTCACCGTCTTTCTTCCCTAGGGAGGGAAAATGTTGGAGAGATGTGGTATGAAATTGCAAAGACACGAATATAGGGGCAGGGGGGAATGATTTTTATTCATTGAAGCCATGTATATCATTGGAAATTCGTTCTATTACCGAATATAGAATTGCGCATTGGCAGTTTTTTCAAACCAAATTTAATAAAATAAAGATATCATAAAATTAAGGAATATGTCCCACGCATAGAACGATTCATGTTCTCTGTATTAATCGAATTTTTTTTCTTCTGAAGTACTTATATCGACGGATTTCTAAATCGTCGTTCGACAAAAGCATCAAATATCGCACTTTGGACTTCGTTGCTTGGATCATAAAAAAATGTCCTTCTGATTATTTAAAACTTATTTGTCGATGCTTTTACGTACTTTAATACGCATTTAGCTTACAATTTACTGAGAAACTAATTATAATTGGCCATTTTTTATATAGCTGTTTAGCTATTAGCTTATAAAGAAAATGAAACTGATGCAAAAAACATTTAAGAATTGATTTTAAATTATACTGTAAGTATATAAATACCTAGCATAATTTCTAAATACGTAGTATAGAACTTAGGTGTATAAATATTTTAATTATGGAAAGTATTTAGCAGTAAACATTATAAAACTTTGTTTATTTTAAATATTTTAACAAATGATATTTTTAGAGACCTTCGCAGTGAATTCTATGCAAAAAAGTATCATGGAAGAATTCATAAATATTCAGAAATCAATGGAAAGTAATCATACTTCATAAGATTGTACACAAATGTAGAAAGTATATGTGAAATACAAACACAAGTAGTATCAGTAAATATATTCGGAGACGTTAGTAATGCTAGCAGTATTGTGAACTGAAATATAATTAATAGTTACAAGTAACAGACGATTGAAAGTTTGCAAATGTAAATATAATAGAATTATTTCGAAGACAAAATCCGATATCATATATTTTCAAGAAATAATTTGAAAAAAATACTAATTCTTAGAAAAATGGAATGAGACTAACAATAATTGTAAATGAAATGTCGCGAAGGCTTGAAATAATTATAAATTCTGAAGGGAATGCTAAATAATCAGAATAGCAAGTAAATTATTTTTTTCATATTTGTATACACAATAATTTATAACTCTTATTTTAGAGTTACAAAACTACGAATTCTTTATTAGACGGATATTTTCCACTGATTTATGAATATCTGTGAACTTTGTTTCTAAAATATATAAGTAACTAACATTTCTTTAAATAAAATTTGTTTCGAAGATCTCTAAGGATACGTGCATGTGAAAATGTTTTAAATAAACAAATTTCTACAATTTGTCACCACTGGATTATACTTGCCGTATAATCGGTAATATCAGAAGAAGGCAATTACTTGTTACGAATGTTTGAAAATCAAAGAAGACTCGAAAGTTATGCAATCCGGTAATATAAAATCTCAAGGTATAATAGACAGTGCGCAACCTTTTTCTACAGGAGCAGAAACCATCTTCTCGGATGAGGTTCGACGGATTAATTAAGTCCCTTCTAACAGTATAGACTTCACTGTCGACTTTTCTCATTTTCAACTTTCTTTCTTCCTTTGGATTCATCTCTCGATTTGGCTCTATTCTCCCTCTTCCTCCTTTTTTTCTCAGCGATCGCCCGCCGACGATTTCCTTTTTCTCGACCCTTCATTCCCGAGGATTCTCCATTTAGCCTTTCCACGCTCAAGCCTTTCAATTTCGCACCACCGCTTTTCGAGCATTTAATATTTAACTCCGGCCCGAAAGGAACGACCAAGTTTTTCAGACTGGCTGGCTAGAACGGATCCAACAGGGGCTCGATGAGCTGATCTGCATGCCGTGCGCCACTTCCTAACCTTGTCCTTAACGAGTCGACGACTACCTTGACTCGCCACCTATCTTACCTTGCCCCTTTTTCAGCCCGATAGGCGTATTTTGCATTCCGAGGAGTTCCTCGCGAGCAGCGAATATTCCGAATGGCCCAGTGATATCACGAAATTCTTGGAAACCATTCTGAATTTCGAATAGCTGCCAGAATAAAAGCTGCAAGAACAGGGATAACATTACCAAAATGCACTCTCTTTTTGGCAAAGAAAAAAAAAATATATATATATATATCTGTTAAAATTATTATTTAACAATTAAAGGATAATAATAACGGAATGTAACTTTTACTTTGTTAAAGAGAAAAAATGTCATTTTTTTTTTCGTTCCGCGAATTTCAAATTCGTGCAATACAAGTAAAATTCGTTGGTCTCTTTGTACAAAGGTTCCCAAATTATTTTGTCTCGTTGCAAAACGTTAATGTTATGTTACTCTGTTCGCTAGAATTTTTCGCCAGTTGAAATCAATTCTACGCCAAGTGTCATCGAATCGTCCTGCACTAACACAAACGCGTGCCAGCAAAAATTCCAACTGAAATCATTCTGTTTTCTCGTGCATCGCATGGCATTTCCCGTAGAACATTTAGCAAAACGCGTTTAAACAAAATGAATGAATTTTTCTTATAATTGCACGTAAATCTATTTTGCAAATAGTTCCAATTTCCAATCTAATTTATGATCTGTCATGTAAATGCGAATCCTTCTGTACATTAATAATGTAATAAAAGATAATATAGTTACTTACGTATGCATACAGGGTGTAATTCGCGGACTGCGAGATAATTTGCAAAATTGAATCTTTGAAGAGAGAATAAAACTTTTCTCACTTGAGGTTTCATCTTCGAGAAAGTCGAGTTTGAAAATTTATTAAATATATACTTGAATTTAATTAATTCTAGAATAATAAATAAGAGATTATTCAGTCTACAAAAGTTAAAAGTATAAATTTTTTTATAAAATGCTTCGTTGAAAATTCATCAAACCAATCCTTCACTAAATATATCCAAACTCTGCCTCCTTAAAAATAAAACTTTCGAAATCACACGTTTCAATTATTTACTCCTGTCCAATTCAGAATTAATAAAATTCAAGTATTTCATTTGAAAATGAAGTTTGAAAACCTTGTATAATTGCAATCGATAAATCTTTACAACAATTCAGAGGAAGAATTCCTGCCAAGATTCGCGCACAGTTAAAGAAAATGGGTCCGATGAAAATAATCAGATACGTTTAAGGGAAGTAACCGAGGAACCGGCTCGTCGACATCAACACCTCCGGAGACGATTCGATGGTAACGATTCTCGGAGAGGAGCCCGTTTCATTTCTGTGCTCACGCGTAAAAACCTTTTCCTCTCCTTTCTCTTCCGTTGGACGCGCAGGCCTCCCTTCTTTTTACTCGTTCGATCCTTTCCGTGGCGCTCTCTTCGACTCTTGACGTCTCATGGCGAGTACTTTACGAGAGTCTCGACGAAGAAGCTCGAGAAAGCTTGAGGCTCTTCAGCTTTAACAGTCGTACTTTCATTAACGCGTCGACGGCTGCGAGAGAATGCGGCGGGTTCTTCAAGGGGTGTCGAAACGAAAACGTTTCCTTCCAATTGGCATCCAGAAATTAGATACAACGCGGCTCGTTTGTGCCTACTCGCCGATAATGGGCTCGTAAACGAAAAGAATGCAGGAACGGGATCGTGTCCATTTTCGCCAACCCATGGAATGCAAAACGTGAACGACAAATGCTTGATTAATCTGATTCTCCATCTAATTTCCCACTTGCCATTAAATATCCATTTCTGTTGTGTAAAATAATGACGACGCTTAAACTTTTATAAACATTGTTGGGTTGGTTGGTTAGAATATAGTTCTGGGTATAAAAATATCTAGGTTGAATATGACTCGTCTCTGATGATGAATTTCGTATAAATTTACGGTTAATATACAGAATGCTTAAAAAAAAAAGAAAAACGGATTTCCGCTCGTTGCTCCAAATATGAAAGCTCCAAAGTCAATGATATAATTTCCAGTGTCTTAATTTCATGTCTCGCAGTTGCCAGCGGCGATGATTCCCACATCTAGCGGTATAATATTCTTCAATCAGTGTATTTTCACAACTCTGCCGCGGAACTGACTGAATATTATTAGCGAAATTTCGCAAGTCACAAGTTACAAGTTACCGGTGCTAATAAATTCTCTGCTACAACAGTCCCAAGTTTCGTAATAAAACAAGCAAACTTCTACGAGAAAATCTCCAAATTACAAGTTAACTCTGATTGTCCCATTCGATGTGAAATTATAAAATTTTACCAACTATTTGCACGACGGTAGTATGCAACTTATTCTCGAAAGGGATTTCGACTTTCCTCAGCAAATAACGGTGAACCGGTAAAAATTTTTAATCGACGCTTTTTAACACCCCTGTAGGTATGTACGTACGTAATAATAATAATTCGGTGGAAATCGACGTAATCTCTTATGTAATATCCCAGCTGTCACGGCCGAAGTGTTAAAATTTCTGTATCCATCGAGCTGGTGGAACCAGCGAGCCATAGCTCGACGCCGGAAACTTCATGCAGTTTTCCATGGTCCGCTGATTCTCGGATTCACCACGCATTATCGCGCTGATGGCGGCTACTTCCACTCCATCTTCGTGTACCGCGTTATTTCTGAATCTTTGTTTGTTCGTTTCAAACATCACGGCCTGGCGAAAAGAAACTTTTTCGACGGATATCTCCATTTACGCGCACGGCCCCTCCCTCCCTCGAGGCTGATAATTTTTTATTACGCTGTTTTTCAACCATCTCTCAAGCAAGTAATTATAATTTGCAATAAGCGTAACGTATTTACAAGCGAGCGAGTATTATTACATTATTCAAATAAATGTTTCGTTTTAATTTTGCCTTCGTTATATCGGAACACGGTACAATTTCTGAATTAAATTACACGAAATGTTTCTGGATACGCGATATGATTATTTTCCTGTTGTTTGCACAAGAGTTGGCTGCAGCTCCGCCCTGCTATTCTCGCAACTTTCGGTTCCGAAAATTCAACGATGCACTCGCAAACCGGTCGAAAGTGGCCGAATGTGAAACGTTGCCATGCGACAACGTAAAACAAGTTTGCAACCGTAACCATCGCTGACCAGATCATCTGAACTTTTTTTTAACGCGGCTGGCGGGATCGAAGGGAAACTCGAAGAAGTAAACTCGACTCGTAACACGAAGCATAATCCGCGTGTGCTGCGCGAACGAGGCGTTACACCATCGATCTTAATTCTCTTGCGGAGGGAGAACGGGATGGAGTGCCGGAAGAAGTGTTCATTCCGTGTAATAATAAT